GCCCTTACCACTATATTACCTACCTACCTTTAGTAGGGAAATGGAGATTACCAAGTTAGCATGGACTCATGGCAAATAAATCTTAAACTAATCTTATTTCCTTTGCATCCAGGACTACTAAATGAGTAGAACACAGGTATGCCACAGAATATTTATTTAGATTTTAATGAAACATTTAACAAAGTATGTCATTCTAGTCCTGTGGAAAAGGTGGCAAGATATGGATTGGATGATAATAGAATAAGACAAATTAAAAACTAGTTTAGATGACTGGACACAAAGAGCATTTGGTAAAGGCCTCATGTCAGCCTTGCAGGAGATGTCCACTGAAGTATCCCAGGGATCTATGCTTGATCTTGTTTTCTTTAAAGCAGTTGGCAAACTTGACAGCCAAATTCAGTTGGTCTTTTTATACTGCTGGTGAGCTAAGAATTTTTCTTTTTGCATCTTTAAACACATCTTTATTTTAAAATATAGAATCTGTTCTTAGCCCAGAGACAATACAAAAACAAGCAACATCAGATTTGGATCATAGGCCATAGTTGGCCCACTTCTAGATTAGAATACTAGACAGGATCTTAAGATGAAATTCAATAGGGATAAAAAGTAGTCTTGCTCTTAGGTACAAAAATCTACTTCACAAGCAAAAGATAGGGGATGCATGGATAGACAGCAGTTATTCTGAAAAAAGTCCACCTACAGTGGACTGCAAGTTCAATATGTTAGATGGCGGCCAGAAAAGATAACATGAACAAGAGTTGCATTAAAATGCGTATCTTCTTGGAATAGGAAGGTGATAGTCCCAGTACATTTTTGCCCTCGTCATACCTCATCTGGAACATACTGTTCCATTTTGGGCACCACAGATTAACGAGGACAATGATAAACTAAAAAAGTGTCCCAAAGAAAGGAATAAGGATGGTTAAAAGGCCTTGATTCCATAGGAATCCAGTGAAGGAACTGGACAAATTTAGCATGAGGAAAAGGAAGGGGTCAGGGGGAGGGACTTGAAAGCTCTCTTAAGTATGTGAAGGGCAGTTATATATCAATGGGATTAGAATTATTGTGTTAGGCTCCAGAAGGCCAAAAGAGAAGTTATAGGTTTCCATCTATTTAGGTTTGAGGTAATGAAAAACTTCCCCCAAATTAGAGCTGTTCAAAAGTGGAAAAGGCTACCTTGAGAGGTAATGAATTCCCTGCCATTAGAGGCCTTCAAGGAGGGGCCATGAAAATTCCTTTTGTGTATGAGTTGGACAAGATGGTGGTTGAGGTCCCTTCCTACTCTCAAATTCTGTGATTTTTGTGACCTGAGCTGGGTTTCAATCTTCCTTCTGATTAGAATAACTGTATGATTCAAATGTATTATATTTGCTATTCCCTGATATACCTATAGCACCTACCTCAAAATGTTGTTGTGAATATCAAACAAAAATATATTTAAAACCACAAAACACAATATGATTAGTGTATAGGCAGTCAACAAACATTTGCCAGGCACTGTGCTAAGCACTAGGAATACAAAGAAAAGCAAAAGACAGTCCCTTGCCTTTAGGGAGCTTACAATCTAATGGGGAAAGATAACATACAAAAAGAACTTGAAAAGGGGTTGGGGAAAGTATCTGGCTTGATGGAGAATAGATGTCAAATATTATAATTTTCTCTCTTAAAACACTGATGCAATTATTTACCTCTTTCAGTGTTCATCTGTTCAGATAGTCTTTTTTAACATTTTATTTTGCTCTTTTGAAACTATCTAAACTACCTATCTAAATTTGGCCATTCCTTCCTTCCACATGAAATTTAAGTTAGCAGATGGTAAGTTAGATTATCACCAAGCATCTGAACTTAAACACTTTACCTTTAGTTCCTGCTGTGAAGAAAACTAATTTTAATTATGTGATATGGGTCAATTTCTCTCACAGGAACTGTAAGTAAAAAGACTTCAGTGCAAAAACATATTCATGGTTAGAGCACTTATGTTCTAAAGTAGCAAAGATATTCCATCATAATGTATTAATGTTATTAAATGGCCTCATAACCATAAGAAAGATATTATTATCATTGCTGGGCATTATCTTAACACTTTTTAAGCCTGTAGAAACATTTCATATAAATTTCATTGTTCCCAAAATACAGTAAAGAATTTAAGAAAAATGCATTACATTTGCTATTCACTGATATACTCAATTAACCAATTACCTACAACATTAAAAGCTTTGGAGAGATTAGAATGGGGTCATAAATCTTGTAATACTATTTTCATTCACATAGTAATGGAGTCATAGTAACATCTGGATATTAAGTTAGCAGGTTCTCCTGATAATTCTCAAAACAAGTAACTGCTATTGCCCACAGTATATGTATATATATTCACATGCATATAGATAAGGCTGTATGATATAACGGAAAGAACACTAGATAATATCAAGAGATCAAGGTTCTAAAACTTGCAAACTGCTTGAACTCTGTAGAGATGTACACACAGAATTTCAGTTTAATATTTTCTTAAAGGTCTTTGCATATGTAGAATCAATAGAAATGATGATATTACTGAAGCCCTTTGTGTATTACACATATATATGTATGCATATACACACACATATATACATGCATTTGTACATATACATGTGTGGGCCTTACACAGTAACTACACCGTGACACTGCTCAGGTTTATAATGAACTGTATTGGGACACTCAATCCCCTTAGATGGTATTTTCAAGTTAGTCACATTATTACAGAGGGGGGGCACTTCAGTTGACATAGTCAAAGACTGAAGGGCAGTTCATGTCTTTTAGCAAGAGAGAGAAATGAATTAACATTCCATTTAAATTTCTGTTACGAAAGCTTAGCATTGGTTGGCTTTAATAAGACCTTTCATCTTTCCAGATCTTCCTCAATGCTAGTGCCTTCCCTCTTGAATTCTCTCTAATTTATCCTTATTAGAGGAATAGCCTAACATCCTAAGAATAACCTTAAGAATAATCTTAAAGAAGATCCTAATTATATCATAATTTATCCTGTCGTAGATATAATCTTTAGTTAATCTCTAATTTATTACATTTCTTATTTCCACATAGTTGTTTGCATGTTGGTCCTTCCTCCCTTAGATTGTGAACTATTTTAGGACAAGGGCACTTTTTGTCTTTCTTTGTATACCCAGAACTAAGCACAGTGCCTAGCACAGTAAGTTCTTAATAACTGCTTATTTCCTTTGACCCAATAATAGGTTTCAGTCTAATTTTGTTAGTTGAGCAAATGTACTTTCAATGAAATGCAAAAATAATATTCATATATATTTGTGAAGCATGGTGCTATTTCCAAAAGGCATTAATGCCTAGAAGTAAAAACATACTATTTAACTAAATAATATGCCTAAATAACAAAAGCATAAGCAAGTGAAAAATTATGATTTTCTTCATAATGGCTTCCTGGTATGGAAATTAGGGCAACATTCAGTATTTAGTTACAGCAAATGTAGATCCCATAATTAATGTTCAACAACAATTGCATAATTAGTAGAGAATGTCTGCACAAATACCTGATAACTGGACTAGTTTTTCTTAATGCTTGCTTACTGCTGTCATTTATGGCTCTTAAGACCAAAGGTTTAACTCAATGTAGTAAACAAAGGAACAGGGAAACATTAACAAAAAGTAGCAATTATCCCATATTAGCTCATATTTAGCACTTACTTAAAAATGTAAGAGTTTAGAATTCATTGTTTTATAGGTCTTAATCATATCTCCCTACTATAGTACAAGCCCCTTTGGGCTCTGACCAAGCTATCAGTCTGTATTTCTCATTTTCTATTGTGGAGAACACAAGGCTACACTCAAGTGACATGTTTAGTTAATAAGTAAGGGCATATGATCTAATTGCTGATCTTAGTACATCAAAATATGTAGTTGAGGCCAGTCCCCTGTAGTAAGACACAAGTGGTCTACTTTTTTTTTTTAAGGCAATTGGGGTTAAGTGACTTGCCCAGGGTCACACAGCTATTAAGTGTCAGGTGTTTGGTCTGAGGCCACATTTGAACTCAGGTCCTCCTGACTTCAGGGCTGGTGCTATTTCCACTGTGCCACCTAGCTGCCTCTAACAAGTGGTCTAATTTCCAAGGTGATAATGTAGTGTTTCCAAAACCTTAAAGGCCTATAACTGTTAATCTAATATCACACATTGCAATAAAGGCCCAATTGAACTATTAGCCTTCAGAACTTAGAGTAAACAGAACCACAATATAGCATATGCCTAAAGACATCATCTTTGGCAATAACACATGCATAATTAAGATAGAAAAAGATGGCAGTAAACTTTCAGAGATGAGGCATTTAATAAGGTATGCAAATGTAGTTGAAAAGAAACATATATAACCAGCAAATCATCAGTCTTCCTTTCCCTACACTATTTATGGCAGGGGTCAGGGGGAAAAATTCACCTTTGCTTTGTAGGCATTAGCTGCTGGTTTTAACAAGCCATTCAATCTCTGTGTGGTATTACTTGTCAGAGGTTTCACCTTATATACTCCCACATCTTCAGTTTTCTTTAGATAAAAGGTAAAGTCCATAGATTCATAAAACTGAAACTAGAGTCATAGCATCTTGGAGTTGAAACCTAGCCCAACCTCTATACCTGAAGCAGGCATCGATTTTTAAAATATCCCCAACAAATGGTCATCCAGCTTTCAAATGACTGTCTCCAGACACTAAAAACTATTCTTCAAAGTATTCCTTAAAAAATACAGTTGAAAAACACATTGTCTTAAGCTATGTGGAGTTGTTCCTTTTTTAATTTTTATTTCTTGTAAATGAACTACTCTAGTGTTCTTAAAATACCATTTACATAGGTTATATACTTTGCAACAAGTGACTGCTTCATAAACATGGTAGCTCTTAACTGATTAATCAGTTGGTTTTTTTACTGGACAAGCATTAACAACTCAACTTTGTGTTCTAGAAATGTTTTGCAGTTTATCTCCATAGCCACAACAAATTAGGTTTACATATTACTCAAAAAATGACTACACATACTTACCATTCTTTACATAAGGTCTTGGACAGATCTGGCTCAAAAGAAGTTTTTGACGTAATTGCAGAACTTCAGTTTCCAAAGCTTCGACTTTTGATCTCCATTCTCCATCTTGTCCAGATAATATCTTAGCAAGATGCTCTGTATATTCTCTGCTGTTTCTGTCTGGTGGTTTTGAACGAATAATTGCTAGTGCCAGAGCCAATTTTGATGTTTTTAAATACCACGTTTGAACCTCCATCCTATCTTTAATCCCTATCATTTAGTTAAAAAAAAAAAGAAAAAAGAGAAATTACATTAAGTTTCTTTTAAAGTTACACCTACATTCTGCTTACTCAAATAAGATTTTATTTATCAAATTAACTTATTTACTAATTAATTAAATTAATACATATCTTAGGTGTCCCAGAGTCAGTCAACAGATATTACTACAAACATTGCAATATCCAGGCAAAACAGGAGAGAAATATACTAGACAAATATCTAGTAACCCTTATTAAGTGGATTTGAGAGTTACACAATTAGGAAGTCAAGAAAAAAAGAGTACTTACACAAATCTTATCAAAAATATAAAATTAAATAATTAACGCAAATTTGATCCCTTCATCTAGCATTATGACCAAGTAAATCTGTTGATTCTTTCTTTGTAATATTTCACATAGTTCTCTTCTTCATTCTGAAATTAGTCCAGGCTTCATATTACTGCTTTAACTGATATCTTGGTTTATGTTCTTTGCCTCATCCAGTCCATCTTTCATACAACTTCCAACATTCAAAAAGATTCCACTCTCATTTTTTTCCTATGTTTATTTTTCTCCCTGCTTTAGAACCTGTAGTGGGTCTCTACTGACTATTAATTATGTCCTTCCTCTCTGCGTATCTTCGAGGCCCTATTCCAATGGACTTATAAATAAACAATGTTCCATTTAATTTTTCATCTTATCCACCCTAGTCTTTTTACTATCCTTCTCTTCTTGCCTCCTTTCTCAGACACTAAGCAAGAATGTTTATTTATTCTCTCATCTTTTCTCATCCTATTCCTACCACTTTTGATGTCATTTTCCTCTGCTCAATGATCCAAATCTTACCTAACCTTAAAAAGCCCAGCTCAGATCCCACTTTCTCTACAAAACCTTCCCAAACTAAACTGAATTTGGAGCAGCTAAGTGACACAGTAGATGCAGCACTGGGCCTGGAGTCACAAAGACCAGAATTCAAATATGACCTCAGACACTTACTATATTTATGATCTTGAGCAAGTTGCTCAACTGCTGTCTGCCTCAGTTTCTTTGACTGCAAAATGGGGATAATAATAACATCTACCTCACAGAACTGTTGAGAGGATCAAATGAGATATCTGTAATGCATTTAGCAGAAGGCCTGGCACATAATAGGTACTATATAAATGTTAGTTTCCTTCCTTCCTTCCAAATTATCCTAGCCCACAGGATTTTTTTTAACCTTATCTAAATTCCTTTATCACTTAGAGTTGGCATTACAAGATTGAGCATTTGGTTATATGTTGCCCTGTAATATTCTCATATGCTTTCATATATATTATCTTACCAATAGAATTGTAAACTCGAGGGAAGGAACTATAACTTTCTACCTCTCATGTGACCCCACAGAACCTAGCACAACTCTAGGCATATAATAAATGTTTAATACTGACTTAACATTTTATTCAAGTCAAATGAAAAAAAAAAAAACAAAGACGTGTAACTTCAAGGAGTATGCCATTTCTTTTCTATGTATCTTATTGCTGTCAGTGCTCAAAAAGCATAATTTTCACATACGTTCTCTGATGCAGCAGCTGAATGGTGCCCTGATGTCTCTCAAGTCCAAATTCTGCACATAGTTCATAAAATACAGTTAAAATATAACCAGACTCAACAACAGCCAAAACATGTATTTATATGCAACTTTGTAAAAACATACTTAACATACAAGGCAGGGTATACTAGTCTTGTGTGTATGTGTACGTTGTGAGCATATGTTTTAGCCAAGGTTGTATAATTTCAATAAAATGATTTCCATGTATAGATCAAGGACTAGAGATACTATTAAAATGGATAAGGTCAAATTAGAATTATAGGACCACATGTTTCAGTTTCCCCAGTATTATTTGCACGCAAGTGGTTCATTCACCATCTGTTATTTCAGTTATGGGGAGCAGTTAGTTAATGACATTATTGAGTGCCCACTGTGTGCAGCACTGTATTATCAACAAACACTAAAATAGTAGATAAAAATATTTTGCTAACTTCAAAATGCCATATAAATGGTAATTATTATTTTTTATTAGAGGTGAAATCCTTTGATAGACAACTATGCTATCTGAATTCAATTCACTCAGAAAAAATGATAAATTGGAGTTTGGCTGATGGGTGTCTGTGCTCACAAAACTTTAAAAGAAATACTTCATGACAAAATAGATTAAGGCTCTATGGAAAGTTAAAATACCATCAAATACATTATTGAGCATGGCTCTATGAATCTCTGAATGGAGTATAAAGACATTATGATTTTAATAAAACTGTTGCAAGAAAATCATTATAATGTATTATACTAGATCCTTCTTGCACTCACCGTGCAATTATGATAGTTGTAACCAACTGGTAACCAACTCCCAACCAACTGCCACCCCCAGGGCAGGTGAGCCAGCTTAACTGAAGTATCAAGGCACCCTGAAGGAGAGATAAGGGGTAGCATATGCCAGACAAGTAAAATGACATTGATCACCATCACCCCTTAGACTCTGATGGAGATAGCCTAAGACCCTAACCCCAAGAGTCTTGGGAAAAGGAGTGCTTCCCTCAGCCATCGTGCTAGGAAGCAACCCTTGTAAAGAATGCAACCTGGAAACTACCTCTTCAGGAGCTGCTACTGAAGACCCAGAAAAAAAATCTTTTGCCAACAAAGTCCTCAACACTTAAATAGTTCAACATGAGAAACTGACAGGATATTATCAATGGAAATGGCATTAAAGAAGCACCAACATCCGTTTTACTACTGTACCCTAAGCACTGTGAGATTGTAGCTGAAACCTCTCATATGTATTGTTTCCTCTGTTAGAACATTAAGCTTCTTGAGAGCAGCAACTATTTTATTTTTCTATTTGTATCCTCAGCAATTAGCCAGTGTTTTGTACCAAGCACTTAACAATACTACATTCATTCACCTCTCCATTGCCCCCAGCTACATGCCCACACACATACAAGAATGCATCATCTCAAAGGTCTTATTAACCATAATTCAATTTGTCTCTGCCAATTCAGAAGACATTTCAGGGTCTTGCAGTGACCTCAGTATCATCATTATAGCCATTTTCTGGCATTTTATTGTATAACTAAATAAATTCTAATAAACAGGTTTCGGGCTGAAAGGTCTGATAACCCAATTTTACTGTATACAAAATATTCAAAATAAAATCATATAGTACTGAGAACTCCCCAACAAAATAAAACAAAAAAAAAGTACTAGATGTTTTTTCAACTGAATAAAAACCATTGTATTACTCTCCCCCCATAACTTTACTATACAGTAATTTTTCAAAAAAATGTTCTTTGTTTACTTGATAAAATTTCAGCAATAGCTTAAACTCTGAAACCCTGTCTTTAAAGCTCAATTTGGCCTCAAATAATGAAAGTAAATAATGAAAATTTAATATCCTCAAAGAAAGTAATTATCTTCCTCACATTCCCAGTAGCAGTCTTCACAGTTTTAGGTGTAACAGTATTTTAGCAAACTTTAAAGAAAAGTTTTTTTTGTAAACATATTATACATACATATATATATGTATGTATACATTTGTATATGTGTGTGTATGTATGTATAAGTTCATAATAAACCCTTTACCCACACTAAATAATCTGGGGGAGGGGGGAGAGGAAAGGGAAGCAGCATGGAACTAGTCACTCAGTATTATTACCCTTATACATCAAAAGTTGTTTTACCTGCTCTTTTTCTTGCCCCAATATTATTCTCCTATTAAACTTCTGCTATTGACTTGTCACTTATTAGGAATTATTAAGACTGCTTTGAAAAAATTCTGTGGGCACTGAAGCTATTCCAGAACTTTAAATTACTGATGAGCATTCATTTATTCAACAAATATTTACTGAGGGCTTGCTATATGCAAAACACTTTGCTAGGTTCTTTGGTTTAAAATAAAGAAAAAGATTAAGACATTAACTCCTGACCTCAAGAAACTTATCCTTAAAAAGAAGAAACATGTACACATAAAAGCCATAAGATAAGCTACAATATGATAAATGTTACATGAAAAGTTCAAAGTACTATAAGAACCAGAGAAGGAAGAGGTCACTTTTAGTTGGGTATGACAAGAATCATAGAAAGCTTCATGAAGGATGAAACATCTGAGCTGGGCCTTGAATAATGGGTAGTTGTTCAAGAAGGTAGAGATGTTGGATTCAAGGAGGCATTCTAGGGATGCTCTCTGGGAGCAGGAGATAGGAGAGCTATATTAAGAAATGTAGGCACTATGAAAACAAGATATAGAGACAGATAATAGACAGATAGATATGTCACAGTATCTCTCTTTCCATATACGCATGTATGTGTACCTCCTTAAATTCCTAAGGACTTACAGCAAAGGGTTATTTTATTAGTACTGCTAGTATTATTCCCTGTAATTTTTGCCACCAAATATATCAATGCTTCCAAAGCTCTATGATCTTGCTCATCTGGGTACTCCATCCAACAACACAAATCACAACCCTTCCAGGTCTTTGTGGATGGTATTTCTGAGTTTCTCTATCCCCAAAACTTCATCATCTGATAATCAACCTACTGATGATGAGAGAGTCTGTGAAATGCCTTCAAATGGCAGACAAATATTCCTCCTTCATGTGCAGGTGAAACTTTTTCAGGTAGCACGACCAATTCAAATGGGCACTCCATTAGCCTAGCCTACCTCAAGATAGGCCAGTGCCCCTACCTCAAGGAGACAGAGTAGAACTTTTATTTTCTCTTTGCCACTAAAGAAAAATAAAAATATTAAGTACACACTGGTGCAATAAGTAAGGCATGACAGGCATAACCAGTGACTCAAAATCAGTGTTTCACAGCGAAGTCCTTACTTCTTTCTGCAATAAACTTAATTGCATTTTAATTAAAATCAAGGAGCTTGATGAAATTATCCAATTAATGGTCCAAACATCTAGAAGCAATGATGTTTCTCCTCTTCACAGATTAATAACCTGAGATATATGAAAGTTT